AGCTGGAAGGAGCTTTGAGCCCCCCGGGGGGGTGAAGGGACTGTTGTTGCTGGTGATGCTGCTGGTGTTTTTACAGTGCCTGGGAGCGGTCTGGATGCTGCAACGTGTCTGTGTGAGGAGCCAGGAGAGAGGCCAAGTGTCGGAAGCCCCGTACCCAGCAGAGGGGGTGCAGACAAAGGCCCCGTGAGCAGTGGGGGGGGCAGTGAGCTGTGAAAGCTCAGAGAAGCCTCTTTCTCCAAAAGCTGCCGAGTGTTGTTTACGTCGTGAGCCGGAGCATAGCCATGGGAAGTTGAATACGGCTAGAGGCTTCAAGGTCAGCCACCTGCAGCAAACACAGATAAGAGCTTCTGAGCTGTGTGAGAACGCCGAGACAAGTTCAGTCTCCAAGGCAACTGAGAGAGTTGCATCTACGGAAGCTGTGAAGGTCGTGGGCAAGTCTCCCTGCCGGGGGGAGTCTGTTGCCGTGACAACCAGAGAGGACGTCTGCAGAGGCCCCAAGGAGGGGGGTAGCAAGGGGAGTGTTGCTATGGCAATGCTCCAGGAATGTCAACAACCAGACGTTCTGACTATTGTGGTGGACAGTGGAGCGACAAACACTCTTGTGCCCTCTGCTGGTCTTTTGAGGAACTGCAGGACAGTAAAAACTGACAAATACGTCACTCTTGCGGATGGAAGTAAAAAAAGGCTGACGCAGTCAGGACTCTTTTACTGTTCCTTTCTTAAACATGAGGTCAAAGCTTTTGCGGTGCCAGGCTTAGCCAATTGTTTGTTAAGTGTGCATGATTTACTTGCTGATGGTTTTTGTGTGTCTTTTGCAGGTGACCAATGCCAGTTCTCAAAGAATGGGAAGCACTTGTACACAGTGCAATCTAAAGGCAATTTGTTTGTTGTAGATGTGCCTGTTTCTACAGAAGACGACGACACCGAAGATGCAAAGGGGCAATGTGTGAATGTAGCGCCCCACGATGGTTGTCCACATATCTGGCACAGGCGATTTGCTCATTTGAATTGGGGATTTGTCCAGAAGGCACCTGAGCTGACACAGGGGTGCAAATTTAAGGCTTGTGACAAATTCTTAGATTGTAATGCTTGTAAACAAGCCAAGGTTGTGACATGCTCCTATCCAAAGTCAGAGAGACAGACCACTCAACCCTTTGAGTTAATTCATGCAGATTTGTGTGGCCCCATGTCAGTTGAGTCATTGGGGGGATCAAAGTTCTCTCTGCTTCTGGTTGATGATTTCTCAAGGTCTGCTTGGACTTTTGCTTTACGCTCTAAAGGGGAGGCGGCTAAATTGATCAGGGATTGGATCACCGCAGTTGAGGTAACCTTCGCCACCAAAGTGTGTGGCTTTCAAAGTGACAGAGGTGCTGAGTTCACTGGTTCTGCTTTGCAGGATTTCTTTAGGGAGAAGGGAATTAGCCACAGATTGACCGCTCCTTACTCTCTGCAGCAGAATGGAATCGCAGAAAGGAAGAACAGGACGATACAGGAAGCGGTATCGTCTGTTCTGTGTGATGCAGGGCTACCCCAGAAGTTCTGGATGGAAGCCTGGTGCTTTGTAGTGCATACGCAAAACAGAGTGTACAACTCAAGTGTAGGGAACACACCCTATTTCTTGCTTCATGGAAAGAAACCTAAGGTGCACTACCTTCGTGTGTTTGGTTGTGAGGCCTGGGTTCTTATTCCAAAGGCTCTACGCAAGAAAGGTGAGCCAAGATCCAAAAGAATGATCTTTGTGGGGTATGAGCCTGGCTCCAAGGCCTGGCGGTTTGCGTACCCAAGTGGAAACCAGTCAAGGTTGGTGATCAGCAATAGCGCTGAGTTCTGTGAACAAGCTGGTTGGAAACGTTTGCACGCTAATCCAGACGTGATTTCACAGCCGTTCTATGACTCAGACGTTGAGGAGGAAGAGGAACTTGTTGCTGGGGACCGTGGTCCAGAGCAACAGGGTCCACCACAGGGACAGAGTCCAAGGCAGGAACAGCTCAGGATCCCTCAGAGGGGGGAACCTAGAACACCTCCTCAGGCAAGTGTTAAGTCTGAGCCAAAGAGTGAGCCTTCCTCACCTGCTGGACCAGTTGTAAGGCCCAAGAGGCGCAGCAGGTCAGAGGGGGAGGACACTGAAGTTGAGGATGATTTAGCTGGTCCCAGTGAGTCAGAAGGGACACCAGGGTTCACACTGAGGAGATCAGCGAGGACAAGGAGGCCTCCTGATCGGTATGACGCTTCAGGCGTCTGGGTAGGTGCAGCCAGATGTGAACCTGAATCCTTTGAGGATATTCAGAGTTTACCTCAGGAAGAAGCAGGTAAGTGGCACAAGGCAATGGACAAAGAGATGAGGTCCATGGAAGATCTAGGTGTGTTCTCACTCACAGAGTTGCCACCGGGCAAACAGGCTGTGAGTTGCAGGTGGGTTTACCGCCTTAAACCCACTGATGCTGGAGAACCGCAGTATAAAGCCAGATTAGTTGCTCGAGGATTCACTCAGAGAAAGGGAATACACTTCACTGAGGTGTATTCGCCAACCTCGCGAGCAGAGACTCTGAGGACGCATTTAGCTGTTGCTGCACAGAGAGGCTGGAAGGTAAACCACTTTGATGTGGATGTTGCCTACCTTAACTCAGATCTCCAGGAGGAGCTGTACATGCTTCCTCCTCCAGGGTTTGAGATCTTAAGGCAGGGTGTTGTGTGGAGATTGCACAAATCCATCTATGGATTACAGCAATCAGCCAGAAACTGGAACATGTGCCTGAATGAAGCTTTAGAAGAGCTAGGTTTCAGAAGAAGTGTTGCTGATAGTTGCCTTTATTTGAGAGGATCAGGAGCAACACAAGAGTTCTTGCAGCTGTTTGTCGATGATTTGCTATTCTTTTCAGAGACAGATAAATAGGCAGAAAGGTTTGCTAGAGAGCTAGGTAAACGGTTCAAGCTTGAACAGCTTGGTGCTGTCAAGACCTATTTAGGCTTAGATATTGTCAAAGCACAAGATGGAAGCTTCTTGCTCAGCCAGAGAGGCAAAATTGAGTAACTGCTTCAGAAATTCAGGATGAGCGATTGTGCGGGAGTGAGAAGTCCTATGGAGACTAGTTTTGTGAAGGATAGTGAGCAAGTAGAACACGCTGTGTTCGAAAATGCTGAGGTGTTTCAGTCAGCCCTAGGGAGTTTGCTGTACTTGTCCCAGTGGAGCAGACCAGATATAGTGTTTGCTGTCAATCTGCTCAGCAGGGAAGCTTCAAACCCTAGTGTGCAAGCCTGGAATGGCATCAAGAGAGTTCTGAGATATTTGCAGGAAACCAAAGACTTTTGTCTTAAGTTGCCAGCACAAGGTAAAGTCAAACTGACTTGTTTTGTGGACTCGGATTGGGCTAATCTTGAGGACCGCAAGTCTGTGTCTGGCCTAGTGGTGAGGTTTGGGAACTAAGTAGTTGGTTGGAGGTCCAAGAAGCAGAGTCTTATAGCGCTCTCATCCACTGAGGCTGAGTTCAGTGCTCTTTCAGAGGTGTGCAGAGAAGTAGAGTTCTATGCTTGTTTGGTCCAGGAGCTCTGCGGAGTGGATTGTCTGCCGATACGTGTCTTCGAAGACAATCAACCATGCCTTCGTTTGGCCAAGACGGGTCAATTCAAGGCCAGGACCAAACACCTAGACATTCGCTTTCAGAATGTGTGTCAGAGTGTTCAGGAGGGGTTAGTTGCGCTGAAGTACTGTCCCTCTGCCAAGAACCTCGCTGATGGGTTCACGAAGCCACTCTCCTTCCAAAGACATGGGGAGTTTTGTGAAGGTCTGGGTTTGGGGTGACCAAGGGTCAATATTCCCCCTCAGGCGCGAGACAAGAGGGGGTGTTGGGTGTAGTGAAGGGTTAACCTTCTGTGTCTTGTGCCTGAGGGGACGGGCTTACAGAGGAAGTAAGCCAGGACGTTACATCAGAAAGAGTGCTTTTGGTTGTTAGTTGGATTGCGGCTCTCAGCCGAGAAAGATGTCCGAATTCTCTGGTGGAGTTTTTTGACTGTTTGGCATGTAAATAAAGAACTTCTAGATTAGAAGAAACAGCTGGACTGGTTTACTGTCTTCCTCACATTCCGTTGAGCATTTTGCTTTTGTAATGGGTTTAGGGGTTGCTCGTGCGTAAGTTGCTGCCACTCCTGGCTAGGTTACCTGGTTGAACCCTTTCTGACTGGACAGCCTCTAGCTTCATGGCTGTCTCAGTCGCTGGCAGAATCCGTCAGTGGGCGTTTCTTGAACTTCTTCCAGCACAAAGGTTCTTTGACGCCTAGTCTCCGCCTAGTCTCCCTGCGCGGAAGCCTTCTGCGCAGGGAGGGTGTGGGCAGCGGAGGACCCGTACTCTCTCCGCTGGTCTCCGGCGAGGAGTCTTGGAGCCTCCTCTCCGATTCCCCCATCTGCCCCCCTTCTCCACTGGTGTTACGCTGATTTGCTTCCCCAGCAGATGGGCTGCCTCTCTCCCTACTGGGACCCTCTCCGGCATCCCTCTGGAGCCTTCCCTCCACCTCAAGCTCTGATGGCAGTTCCCTGACAGCTTTGTTTGCTTTCTCCTGGAGCTATGCTGGAAAACAGAAGCTGCAAACGCTGGCAGCAGAGCTGACAAGCGGAGGCGTAGCTGGACAGAAAAGCAATAAATCTTCTACCGAATATCTTTCACTATCTCCCTCGCATTTTGCTTGCCTTCTCTCCCCCGTTATTTGTAAGGCCTCATTGGACAGCCACTTTGCTTTCTTGCATTTCCTTTTCATTGGGATGGTTTTCGTCGCTGCCTCCTGTATAATGTTGCAAGCCTCCATCCATAGTTCTTCAGGCACTCTCCAGCAATGCAGGTTCTTACACTTTAAAGGAAATTTAGAAGTCACTGCAGGATTAGGAATGTGGCACTGAACTAAGGAGTTGATATTGTAGCAACCTTTCCCAGACATTTAGGAAGGTTACCTGGTTCTGCTTAAAAGTCCTCTTTGGGAGAAAAATATGAGGGGGGAAAGAATATGCTATGTTATAAGAACTCTGGAAAGTGCTTGTTTCCATTATCAAACAGTTTCTCCTCAGTCACCACCATCTTCAACAGCACTGTGCCAGTTGGGTTCACTACCACCTTCAAAGGTGAAACCCAGTTGTGCAGCCCCAAATCCACACTGGTGGGAAGGATCTGCTGGATGGAGCAGGCAGGGTTACAAGCTAAGCCATTGCCAAGGAAGGCAGTAGAGAAGACAAAAGCCTGTGGTCCACCAATCTCCTGACGGTTCAGCACAGAAATGGTAAAGGCTCTGCCCGACAGGGGCCGCTCCCACAGCTCAAAGTTGCTTTCCTGGAAAGACACAACATCCAGCTGCAGTAACAATCACCAGGGATGGGGAAGCTGTGGCCCTCCAGATGTTGGGCTGTTAACTCCCATTGGCCACAGCCAACCAGCCCAATAGCCAGGGATGATGGGAGCTGTAGTCCATCAGCATCTGGAAGGACACAGTCTCCCCATCCCTGCTCTGTAGACATACAAAACTGCTTACAAACAAAACAGCAAAGACGACAAGTAAAGTGTGCTGGTCCGGGGGGGGGTTACCGTGAGGCGTGGTCAGAGTCTGGTCCTGATTCGGGGGTCTGGAGACTGTCTGTCAAGGGCGAAGCAGGGTCCAAGGCAAGGAGCCGGGCGTGGTCGGGAACTCCAGAAAAACAGGTCTGGGTGCTGGCAGAAACAGGTTTCCAACGACGTTGCTCCTGCAACCTGGGACTGGGCTGACTGGCCTTTATCTCCTCTGAGGCCAGGGGCGGTCCCGGCCCACAGGTGACCTGCCTCTACTGGCCTTAAGGCGAGCACTCCTCCTGATAGAACTTAGTTCCCTCCGCCTCTCTGCCCTGAGCCTCTGCAGCTCAGGAGAGGCTGGAGGGTTACTGGACCCAGGGGCAGCTTCACCTTCCCCTGACAGGGCTGGGAGAGGCGCACCTGCAGGCAATGGGTCCTCGATCACCTCTGGAGCCAGAGTGGATTCATCTGGTGTCTGCTCCTGAGGATCTGGCACAGGTGTGGGTCCTTCAGATTCAAGGCCCTGCCCTGGCTCAGCCGGCCCTGAAGGCTCCTGTGCAGGCTGGGATTCCTCTGGTTCAGCCTCTGAATCAGATTCCCAGGCCATCACACCATCCCCCCTCCCAGACCCCCCCCTCAACTGAAGGTCCGGACCCGGCTTGCTGGGGTACGCCGCATGGAAATTACGGAGGCAGGCAGGCACGTGGACGTTGGCTGCTGGTTCCCAGGAACAGTCCTCGGGTCCATACCCCTTCCAGTCTATGAGATACTGAAGCTTTCCCCTGAGGTATCGGGAGTCCAGAATGCATTCCACCTCGTACTCGGGCTCCCCCTGAACCAAAATTGGCGGTGGTCGGGGACGGTTTGGGTGGAACCCGCCGGGCGGGGCCACTGGACTCAGAAGGGACCTGTGGAATACCGGATGAAATGAACCTTCAGGGTTGGGGGTAACCGGAGACGGAATGCCACAGGCGAGACCTGGTCCACGATAGGAAATGGGCCGGTGAAGCGGGCGTCCAACTTCCGCGAAGGCTGAGAGGGGTGGAGGTGGTGAGTGGAGAGCCATACCAGGTCACTGACGTGGAGGTCCGGCCCCACCTGGCGGTGGCGGTCGGCCTGGGCCTTGTATGCCTCCTTGGCCTGGCGCAGTTGCTCCATCAATAGTTGTTGCTGAGACTGGAGCGCCTGGAGCCAATCTGCCACTGCAGGGACTGCGGATACTGGCAGCACATCCGGGAATAACCGCGGGTGGTAACCGTAATTGGCCTGGAATGGGGTCTGCTGGGTGGAGGCGTTCACCGCGTTGTTGTAAGCGAACTCTGCCAATGCTAAGTGGTCGACCCAGTCGTCCTGCTGGAAGCTGCAGTAACACCGGAGATACTGCTCCAGCACCGCGTTTGCCCGTTCCGTCTGACCATTGGTCTGCGGGTGGTAGGCTGAAGATAGACAGACCTCTGTCCCGAGGGCCTGATGCAATGCTCGCCAGAAGCGGGATGTGAACTGGATGCCCCGGTCGGAAACCACACGCTCGGGAAGGCCATGCAGGCAGAAAACATGCTGAAGGTATAGCTGAGCAGTCTCTTTAGCTGTGGGTACAGATGGGCAGGGGGCACAGTGCACCATCTTAGTGAAATGGTGAATGAAACCAGGAGGCAGGTACAGCCACGAGACGGGGGTAAGTCCACCACAAAGTCCAGCGAGACCGTGTGCCAAGGATGTGGCGGGACTGGTAACGGCTGAAGTAGGCCGGGGGGTTGCCCGGTAGGACCCTTGGCCTGCCGGCAGACGTCACAACCAGCGGCATAGCGAGCCACGTCAGCCTTCAGGCAGGGCCACCAAAACTCGTGGCTTACCAGATGGGTGGTCCGATACCGCCCAAAGTGTCCCACTGCTGGGGCATCATGGGTCATCCGGAGAACCTCAGCCCGCAGTGGACCTGGCGGGATGCACAGGCGACCGTGGTGCAGCAGTAGGTCCTGGTGCAAGACCAGCCCCGGATACTGAGGGCATGACCCTTCAGCCAGTTCCTGGAGTCGTTCTTGGGCCCAAGCTTCAACCCGTTGCTGTTCCCACACCCGAGCCTGCAGTGGCTCAGCCTCCTGAGTGGCCAGGAACGCGGCCGGTGGTAAAATCGTTGTTGGTACTGCTTGCTGTACCGTGTCTGCGATGTCTTTGGGTTTCCGGGACAGGGCATCCGCCTTCTGATTTTAGGAGCTAGGGATGTAGCTCATCTGGAACTGGAACCGGGAGAAGAACAACGCCCACCGGATCTGCCTTTGGTTCAACTTGCGGGTGGTCTGGAGGTACTCCAGGTTCCGGTGGTTGGTTCTCATCTCCACCGGGTGTCGTGCCCCCTCAAGATGATGGCGCCAGACGTCGAAGGAAACCTTGATGGCCAGCAGTTCCCGCTCCCACACGGTATAGTTACGCTCCGCCGGAAGGAGCTGGCGGGAATAGAAGGCGCAGGGTAATGGCCAAAATATTGGGAGATCTTGGAACAAGAAGGAGACAAATTCAAACTGCAGAGTTTTGAAAAATTAAAAGATAGAGTGCGAGACTGGTTGCATTATTACCAAATAAGAGAGGTCTATAATTTGGATAGAAAAATTGGCTTCCAGGTGGAAAAATCAAAGTTGGAAACAGAATTGCTAGATTCCAAAACTAAAACACTTTCAAGAATGTATAACTTGCTGCTAAAATGGAATACTCAGGATGAAACGGTAAAATCTGCTATGATTAAATGGGCACAGGATATTGGACATAATATTATGTTTGCTGACTGGGAACGGTTATGGACCACAGGTATGAAGTTCACAGCATGTAATGCTTTAAAAGAGAATATTATGAAAATGATGTACAGGTGGTACATGACTCCAGTCAAGCTTGCAAAAATCTACCATTTGCCCGATAATAAATGTTGGAAATGTAAAGAAACTGAAGGTACATTCTTTCACACTTGGTGGACGTGCCCAAAGATTAAGGCCTTCTGGGAAAGGATATATAATGAGTTAAAAAAGGTATTTAAGTATACCTTCCTAAAGAAACCAGAAGCCTTTCTCTTGGGCATTGTTGGCCAATTGGTGCTAAAGAAAGACAGAACTTTTATGTATGCAACAGCAGCAGCAAGAATACTCATCGCAAAGTATTGGAAGACACAAGATTTACCCACTCTGGAAGAATGGCAGATGAAGGTAATTGAATATATGGAACTGGCGGAGATGACTGGCAGAATCCGTGACCAGGGAGAAGAGTCGGTGGAGGAAGATTGGAAGAAATTTAAAGTCTATCTACAGAAATACTATAAAATTAATGAATGTTAAATTGAAGTCTGATTGAAAATAACTGGTATTGGCAAAAGCTTTGTGATTAAGAGTATGGAATATTTGATGGATAAGGTTGTAAAAGATTTATATATAAATAGATTAAGTTTTTGAGTTAAGATAATGAAAGGAGGGTAAGGATTTGCTGAAAGGAGTTTTTAAATGGAAGTGCAAGCGGGGAGATGTGGGGAAGTCAAAGAACTAGGTAAAGATAAGAAGGCTAAATGAAAGTATAAATATTTTTTAAATTTTTCTGCTCCTTTTTCTTTGTTTTCTTTTTTTTTCTTTTTCCTTTCTTGTTATTGTCATTTCTGTTTGTTTTTTGTCATGGTTATTGTTGTTTTTTGTTTGTTGAATTTTTGTAATTCTGTATTTTTTGGAATTTTTCTTGTAAAACCAATAAATATCTTATAAAAAAAAAAATAGAAGGCGCAGGGTAACAGTGGCGCATCAGGTCCGTGCTGCTGGGACAAGACGGCACCGAGAGCCGTGCTGGAGGCGTCAGTCTCTACCACAAAGGGTCGAGAGGGATCAGGATGTTGCAAGATCGGCGCCCTCTGGAAACAGGCTTTCAATCCCTGAAATGCCACCTCTGCCTCCTTGTCCCAGGAAAATGGCGTCTTGGGGCGCTGCAGCCGGGTCAACGGGGTGGTGCGATGAGCATAATCTGCAATGAAGGTCCAGTAATAGTTGGACCCCAGGAATCGCTGTAGGTCCTTGCGGTTCCGGGTTGCCGCCTGTTCCCGAACCGCTGCCACCTTCCCAGGATCCATCTGCACCCCATCTGGAGAGAGTCGGTGACCAAGGAAGTCCACTGACCGCTGATGGAACTCGCACTTGCTGAGCTTCGCATACAGGCGGTGCTCCCGCAAGCGCTGCAGCACTGTCGGGACATGACCCTTGTGGCCAGCCAGGTCATGGGAGAAAATCAGAATGACATCTAAGTACACCACCACGTACTTGTCTAGCAAGTCCTGGAACATGTGATTGATGTACCTTTGGAACACAGCAGGCGCGTTGCACAATCCGAAGGGCATTACCAGGTATTCGAACTGCCCATACCGGGTCCCGAATGCTGTCTTCCACTCATCCCCGGCTCGGATCCAAATTAAATTGTAGGCCCCCCGGGGGTCTAGCTTGGTGAACACCTGTGTCCCTTGCACCCGCTCCAGCAACTCTGAGATAAGGAGCAAGGGGTACCGGTCTGGGATGGTAATCTTGTTCAGGGCCCAGTAATCATGGCAAGGACGAAGCTCCCCACACTTCTTCTTAACGAAGAGCACTGGCGCAGTGGTGGGCGAGGTAGAAGGCCGAATGAAACCACGCTCCAGGTTCTTGCGCAGGATGTCCTGCAAAGCTTCGTGCTCTGGCTCTGTAAGAGAGTATAAGCGACTCACAGGCAGGGGCGCTCCGGGCTGGAGGTCTATACCACAGTTGAACGTCCGATACGGCGGCAGCTGGTCTGCCCCCTGTTCCTTGAACACGTCTTGGTAGTCCCGGTACGCAGGGGGGGTGTTGATGCAGCCTCCCCTGTGGCCGCAGCCACTAGCATCTTGGACCGAGCATGGGGACATGGGTCTGGGAAGCACACAGACCATTTGACCCAGTCGATCTGAACATTGTGTGACTCCAGCCAGTCCATCCCAAGCACCAGGGGGAACCGGGGCATGGTAGCAATGTCCAAAGTTCCCACCTCCCAGTGCTGCTGGAGACACAGGACCAAGGGCTGGGTCTCCCGAGTAACGGCACCCGAGCGCAGGAGCCGTCCATCAATTGCCTCCACCTGTACCAGTTCTGGCTTGTCCTGAAGTGGCACCTCATGATGGGCGGCAAAGGCAGCGTCCATATAGGAATGGGTTCCCCCCGAATCTACCAGAGCGTGGTTGAGAATCCAGGGCCCACCAGGAGGGTATAGACACACCAGGACCATGAGGTGTTGCAATTCCACCGGTGCGGGCCCTTCATGTGCTGTTTGGGACCCCAGGTAGCCAGGGCCTTCAGCTACCGGGGTTGGCGGTTTCCCTGCAGGCGGCATCTTCTCGGGAATAGCATAGGCTCCTCCGGCAACTGGGCTGTGGCCGTGGACCTGCTGGTAGAGACTGGAGCCAGAAGCCGGGAGTGCTGGGGGTCCCGGGCCTGGCGACGGTCCTCCAAACGATCGTCTATCTGCAGGCATCCAGCGTGGTGGGGCAATCCATCATGGCCAGCTGGTCCAGTATCTCATCCGACAGTCCCTCGAGATACTGGTCCCGAAGTGCAGAGTCATTCCAAGACAAGTCCTGTGCCAACAGCCGAAATTCTGTGGCATAGGCGGCTGTGGACTTGCCCTGTCTCAACCGATGAATCGCCAAATTGGCTTGGCTCCCCTTCAGAGGGTTGCCAAACGCAATCTCCAAGTGGTTACAAAACCCCACATAGTCTGTCAGCAAAGGAGAGTCTTGCCGGAGCAGAGGCAAAGCCCACTTGGCCGCCTAGTCCTTCAGCAAGCTGATCAAGAACAGCACCTTGGTGCGATCGTCAGGAAAATTCCGGGCTCGCCCCTGAATATACAGCTTGGCCTGGGTGAGGAACATGGGAAAGCTGGCCGGGGACCCATCAAATTTCTCTGGCAGGGCCACTGGGTACTTGCCAGAAGCTGGGGAGTCGGCCCCAGGAGCCGGTATTGCGTCCAACCGCTGCTAAAGCACCGTAACCGCATTGCTTAGCTGCTGAACGGTGTGAGTCAAGGCCTGGTTCTCCTGGGCCAATGCCACCAACGCAGCTGCCTGGTCGGCCATGGCTTCTGGCTCTTCCCGAACGCACCCCAACAAAGGGGGAGTGCGGGTGGGGCGGGAGCAAACTGTGCTGGTCCGGGGGGGGGGTTACCGTGCGGCATGGTCTGAGTCCGGTCCTGGGTCGAGGGTCTGGAAGCTGTCTGTCAAGGGCGAAGCAGGGTCCAAGGCAAGGAGCCGGGCGTGATCAGGAACTCCAGAAAAACAGGTCTGGGTGCTGGCAGAAACAAGTTTCCAACGACGTTGCTCCCACAACCTGGGACTGGGCTGACTGGCCTTTATCTCCTCTGGGGCCTAGGGCAGTCCTGGCCCACAGGTGACTCGCCTCTCCTGGCCTTAAGGCGAGCACTCCTCCTGAGAGAACTTAGTTCCCTCCACCTCTCTGCCCTGAGCCTCTGCAGCTCAGGAGTGGCTGGAGCCAGAGGCCGCCTCACCTTCCCCTGACAGGGCTGGGAGAGGAGCACCTGCAGGCAATGGGTCCTCAATCATCCCCGGAGCCAGAGTGGATTCATCTGGTGTCTGCTCCTGAGGATCCGGCACAGGTTCAGCCTCTGAATCAGATTCCCAGGCCATCACATAAAGTTTACGAAACCTTATATGGTGAACCCTTAAAAAACTACTAAAAGGGCTTCAAGGACAAAACAGTAAAAGATTGTGTTGGGGACTCCCTTGCTCTTCAGGGAAGGGTGTGCCATAAACAAGGGGCCACCACCGACGAGGCTGTCTCCCTATCTAAATTCCTCTAGCAGGAGCACCAGGAGGCCTCTGATGGAGATCTTAAGATTTCAGCAGCTTCATACTGGAGCAAGCAATCCTGTCATAACCCTGATCCAATGTTATTTATTGCTCTAAACCAGAGCTAGGAACCTCTTGCTCTCCAGATGTTTCTGGACTGCACTCAGGATATTTATATATCTATTCAAAATGGGAAACTTCATTTAAATTGGGAGCAGGGAATTTTGGATGCAGGGGCCAAATGAAAACCTCCAGACCTCTATCTCTGTCTCTCCAGTCTTGTTTCATGCTTTCCTTGAGTGGTATCGTCCAGCTGTAACTATCTTGGAACTGTGATGCTGCCTTTCGCTTGCCTGGATGGAAAGGGCGTGGGTGGGTGTATGTGTGAATAAACTTGGGAATTTTGCACAGAATGCAGCCTTCAGGTTTCCCCTAACTGAATGTGGCCCTCAAGCTGAAAAGGACCACCCACCTCTTATTTAAATGGATCATCTAAGGAAGGGAGAAAGATGGCTTGCCGCAGCTTGACTCCAGACACGCGTTTCTTGGGCTCTGGGAGACGCGCACTCACCAAAAGGGTGAAACGGGGGTTGTAAGGCTTCATGACCCCTCAGAAGGTTCAGGAGGGCTTCCAGAACCTAGAAGGATTCGCTGTGACGGGGGAAGGTCTCAAAAAAACGGACCTAGAGGTTCGGGAAGGAGACCACGGGCGTCGGTAACAGAGTTCCCTCCCCCCGGTGAGAAAGCCTGATTTTCAGGGCGTCCTGGCGGGAGAACTTCCACAGAACAACAATGACGAGTTTAGATACCCGGTTAGTATGACTAAAACTTTGAAAAACGGCATTAATGACTTTCTATAGTAATTAAATTTACGCAAACTCTGCTTACACGAGCTCCCAGCTCGTATAAACCGGCTGGGAAAACTAACCGGAAGAAGAGCTTTGTTTAACCATACAGTCAGGTAGTTGACACAAGTGAAAGAGGAGGTCAATCCCGAGGTATATAGAAAACAGTGCCTGAAAAAAGCCAATGTCAGGAAAAGAACTTTTATTTACTGGAGGTTGGAAGTGACAGTATAGATTAAAACATTATCGGATAAGAAACAAAAGAGATTGGAGTAAGGAATATCCCCCCCACCCCCCACCCCCACCCCCCGGTAACAGAAGCTTACTGGGTGTTTGTCAGTGAAAGTGGAGAAAAGCTGAAATGGAGGGGAGAAGCGACAAAGTTTAAAGACATTATCACCGCTCCAAAACCCAGTGCTGGAGTCTGGTGACCAACCAGACTCTACTTAGAGGGAAACTGTTTAAAATTGCAGAAGCAAATGATTCACAGTGAATTATGGGACCACCTGGTGAGAGGAATGTGTGCGTCTCTGCTGAAAATCTTCTGAAAAAGGTTTAAGGTACTTCCTCCCCCCCCCCCCTTTTGAACTACGTATTGAGACTGGAGACAAAGGGGTTGTTTTAGAGAGCATATTCAAAAGACGCTAAGGAGAATGTGAAAGGAGAAACAGCTGAGTCATTGTTGCAAGCTGCTCCCTCTCTGGGGGCCATTTTTGTAAGCTGTTTCTTCCTCCTGGGAAACAATTGGCGACAGAATAACGAGCAGAGAGACAGAGAGACAGAAGAGGAAATAGAGACGAGGAGACCAAGAGAGACAGAAAGAAGGAAACAACATACAACGGAATACTGACATCTGGAGGACAAAACTGGAATAGCTTTTAAACTGTGGTTTTGCTGGAAACCTTTGGAAAAGGTCTCTCTCTGACTCCTCTTGTTAACTTGCTAACATGAGTGTTGATGAAATACACTGACAGATATACTTTTTGAGTTACGTATCGAGATTGGAGATAAAGATAAAGAGGCATCTTTGTCAAAAAGAATTAAAAGACATTAAAG